ATGACTAACATTTACGATAGATTGGTTAGGAGATTTGTCTTCATGATTAACCCGGATTCTTCGGCCTTTCACTTTTTCAGTCTAGGACATCTTAATGAAAAATTCCTCTTGGGTTCGTCCACAGATTTCGTTCAGCTATGTTCGTCAATGGGTGCCGGGACAGTTGGTTCGGGGATGGGTGTGGGGTGGTTAATTGGATTTAACACTGCTTGGATTTTGTACATTTAGACCCAGATCATTTCACTGATAACTGCACACCACCTTGTGTCAGCTCGGCTGACCTAAGACTGCTTTCCACACACTTGCAAGTTCTACCCCCTTCTATTCTATTCACGCTGGGATACTTGGCGACTTCCACCGCCTCGGCCACCAGTCGTAGTGGTGTGAATATTATACCCCGTCTCAGGATGTTCACATTTTCTAACTCCTGTACCCAGTGTCTAGTGCATGCCATGCCATTGCCGACTCTATGACTGTTGCCTAGGATTCATCTGCGTTTCTCGGTGGTCACTTAATGGAACGCTTATGCTCACCGATTCTGGTGTGCAAATAAACCTTCGTACAGTCATTACATTGCTAGTAGGTATCGAATCCTAGCAAGTATTCTTGAATCACTTGCCGGCAAGTCACCCACACACATCCAAGGTTCGTATGACCGCTAAAAAATTAGCCGGTTTTCAGTTAGAGCTAGACGAAGTCCTGGTTAGCTTTAATGTCAACTCGACACCAATGTCTCTAAAGCGTACACTGTGGAAGTAGCGAGAAGACTTTTAATGGCAGAAACAACGCTGCAAGAACTAACGCAACTCTTCGCAGACGAGATAGTTGAAGGCATAAAGGTATGCCTAAACCTCAGTCAGTTTGATTTCGACTCAATTATATACTCTCAAGAACAAGGTTTAGCAATGGGATCACCAATATCCCCGATATATATATATATATATATAACATAAATATATTATTCATTACATCAAAACGGTCTCCTACAGTTCGCTTTCGGTTGCGATAAAATCGAACAACCTTGTCCTAAGCCGAGTGAAGACGAAAGCACTAGATCACTCTAATAGTTAATATTACATCGTGTTGATCAAAGTGCCAGTAGTAAGTTGCTCTTCGTCTGTTTGCAAATAGCGTTTATAGACCACAAATATCAATTTTTCAAAGCCTCCCACTTGTTG